ATTCAGAGAAGATTTTGCCATAAATAAAATTTTATTTAAAATTGTTTCTAATCCAAACTGAACAGATTGAAAAGAACAGGCTCTAAATTTCACTCACAAGACTACTAGAGTTAGGGTCAGATTGAAATTTTATTATTGATGTTGTGTAAGTCGAGCGTCTCTTAAAATAACCTCTCTAGCCCATATCTTCGGATAGATTGAAGTTTTGTTTACACCCCCACCCCACACTCTATTATAATGAGATTCAACTATGTTGTTGTTGTTATAAAAAATGGCTTATTTTGTTTTCATAAAAACTAAAAAAAAAGTGAAAATGATAAGAATATAATACTGTAAGTGGTTAAATTCTTTTAAAATTTGAGCAAAATATTATAGATTTTACATGTATATCTAAAAAATAGAGATAAAGATAAGTTTTTTGGGACAATTACAATTAGGGCAAATTTTAATGTTATCCATAGGTCCATATATACTTGTTTTATGATGATGGTGGAGATGATGACGACGATGATGATGATGATGATGATTATTATTATTATTATTATTATTATTATTATTATTATTATTATTATTATTATTATTATTATTATTATTATTATTATTATTATTATTGTTATTATTATTAATATTATTAATATTATTATTATTATTATATAACCAAGCTATTATAACGATTTTAACTCTTGATTAGATTGGATAAAATCACCTCAAATCAAATCAGATCAGTCCCAATTACATTTAATCAAACAAGATTAGATCTAATCAAATAAAATATGAATAGACCTCATCAAATCAAATCTGATCAAATTTGATTTTATATAAAATGTTAATTATGTATTGGAAATAAGTTCTAAACATTTTGTGGTCAAATTATTGTTGGAGAACTCAGCAAAATAGGCTAAAAGCAGATTGAAGACGGTTGAACATTTTAAAGTTATGTAAAGTGGCAAAATGATACTCGGTAACAATAGCTGAATACCATACGACGATAGCCTAATATCGACTTCCAATATCAAGGATATCCAAAAACAGACCTAAATATCTCATGCGGTGGTAGACTATACGATATCGATTGTACTAGTTAACGGTAGCACAACACCATTACACAATATCGAGATACCTTAATCAACTCCTAGAATTAGGCTTGAACCCTTTCCCCAACACTGGACCATCGAGAATATTGAGGTCCCGCCAGCCTACGCTATCGGTGGGTTTTAATTATTCGGATGACTTCCAAGTTATATCCTCGCGCAATCCAATCAAATTGTTGAGCATTAAGATTTTGGTATGTATGATTAAATATGTTTTTAATCTTAGTTGTAGTATGTATATATGTATTGCATGACACTAAATTTGAGATTTAGCACCTTTGTTAGGCTGTTATTTGGTATATGTTGATAGATATCTTAAAACTTGAAAGACGGAAGGTATTATGAGATGCAGTTTACGGAATTGGCAGGGTAGTCACCCAGCCCGAGCCCATTTTGGAAGGGAGTTTAAATATTAGTGTTTTGTATATATACTATAAATTGGACATTGTATTATTTTTAATTCTATAATTTTAATTGTTATTGAAAAAAATAAATTGGTAGGCTAACTTCATTATGACATAAGAGTCCATTTTTCTAATGTCTTATTGGGTTCCTCACTCCTCAAAGACGGCGTTCAGGGTTATAATGCATTTGGAATATGGATTAAGTACGAGACCTTGGTTGTCTAAGCAACAACTAGACGTACTCCATATTAATTTCCATTTGAAATACTCGAACTCATACATATCAATATTTTTTAGTCACAAATGACAAAAATTTGTGACTACCCATAGTCACAAATTTTGTAGTCCCTGTTGAACACATAAATTTAAAACATGACAGGCACACCGTTGATGCAGAAATCTACCCATAGTCGTAGACGGTGGGCAAATTTCTCTAAATCTAGGAATAACAGCAGTATTATTAGTAGCATTATCAAAACCAAATGAAAAAACTTTTTCAGATAAGTTATATTCCCGCAGAATACTCTGAAGCAATAGGAAAATATTTTCAGCAGTATGCTGATCATTGAAATCACGAAATGCAAGAACACGTTTATGCATAATCCAATCACTATCTATCCAATGACAAGTAACACCCATATAAGACAAATTATGATAAGTTTCACCCCAAATATCAGAACAAATAGCAACACGAGAATTAAAA